TGAAGTAGCCCAGCCACAACCGTTCAGAATCTGGTGACTCAAGTTACAAATGGGGGGGCGATTTTGTGTGGGGTGTGCAGTGTGCTAAAAATTCCCCAAATGGAAGGATGGACAGATGGCACAGACATTTCAAAAGTATGATTCCAAGAACTGCAGTAGAAAACATGTCAAAAAGACCAGGTATGAGAACCAGGGCTGTAGAAAGAGGTCTGTGGGTGTCAAGGACAACCTACATTCACAAAACCCTCCTTTGAAACCGGGCTCCACCAGCAGGGACCCCACAGCTGTCAGGGCTGGACAGTGAGATTTTATTAGCCAGGCCCGTTCAGTTGGGACCACATTCTGGGTGGAGGACCAGTCTCGTGTCTGAGCAGCTGAAGGAAGTGAGAGCATCAGGTCACTTAAGCCACAAAACACACCCACATACGCCACTATTTACAGCCTATTGTGCTATGCGTCCTCAAACAATACAAAACACAGACCCAAAAGAGAAACTTTGGACCCGAAATATTCATTGAACTTGACACTGGCTGCCTTATAGCAAATGAATAATTCCACAGGAAAACACATGTAGATGACTCAGATACCTATTTTTTCTTTTACTTTTTTTAAAGTATGTTTTTATTGATTTCAGAGAGGAAGGGAGAGGGAAGAGAGATAGAAACATCAATTATGAGAGAAAAATCATTGATTGGCTGCCTCCTGCACGCCCCACACTGGAGATTGAGCCTTCAACCTGGGCATGTGTCCTGACCGGGAATTGAACCATGACCTCCTGGTCCACAGGTCGACACTCAACCACTGGGCAACACCGGCTGTATTCTATTTTTTTCAACAAAAGCATAAAGTTCTAGAGAAACGAGTCAATACCAGACAAATGTAATCACGGTGCTGTCTGCCTTACAGTGGTTATGGAAATAGAGGTCACCGACATTTGAACAGAACTCCATGGTTTATCAGGCATTGTCCAACTTTCACTCAATCCTGGGCTGGAGAGATAAAATTTTTACTATCCCCATTTTATAAATGTGGAGATTTGGGTTCAGACAGGTTAGGATGACATAGCAATTGGGTTGTAGGACCAGAGGTCAAACACAGGTCTGTGACAAATTCTAGGATCTTTTTCATAACTTAGCCCCTTCAAATATGGGCAGCAGATGCATCAGGCTGGCCAAGCCATTTATTTGGTCCTGGTGTCTTTCAAAACACTCTGTTATTAAAAGGAGGACGAAAGACACTTAGCTGTCACCAAGCTAAACTTTCCTTAGGAGCCCCGTGGACTTTAAGCCACGTGATCCAATAGAGATAATCAGTTTTGTCAAGTGTGAAGGGAAAACATCTCTAGAAAGTAGTCATTCCAAACAAGTTTAGTTTGAGGGGAATTGGCTGAATTTCAGGATGATAGTGAAAAAATCCCGGGTCTCTAGGGCATCCTAACTCCTTGGGCGTGTCCACTGGTGACTACTTCATTTCATCAAATAAGTGCCTTTGCAGTGAGATTTATTTTTTCCCCAAACGACATGAAAAACACGAACATATTTTTTAAAGACCAAAAATATAGCAGCCTTTACTTCCACTATAAATTGAGTCTCACCTCTTCCTCATTTCCATGAGCTAATTTTGACTATATTCCCTGGATCTCTCTACATACAGCTAAAGAGACCAAGATGATAGATAATTATTAGTACTCTGCTCTTCTTCTATATAAGAAATGGATTGTTGTGACATTATTTAGTCAGAATTGGCATATATTTCAAGCTTCCCACTAAAATTTTTATTAAAATGCCATTAACATAAATGAGACATTTAAAGACAATCTAACAGTGCTATTAAATTGCTAAAAATGTACATATGTGCATAAGCATATCCACACACAAAGATTCAAGAAACAAAGAAGAAGATACCAATTCAAATCCAATTCTATACACGAACCCAAACACAAACACACTTCAAACTACCTACCGTGTCTTCCAGATCTTTTTTTGTTTCAGCTTTGTTAGGTGACACCTTAAAAGTTTGAGAAATCAAATGTTAAAAGTTATAGCTATTTAGGGTGATTTTATTTCATAGACACATAGTTTTTAGGTCATTCTAATTCACTCTACAGGTAAAGAATGCAACCCAAAATTTTTTTAATAGAGTAGAAGCCCACAGACTTCGGGTATATCTAGTATACAAAAGTTAACAAAAGAGAATGTTTTATAATGAAATGCATCAGATCTCATACATTCACCAAGAGTTTGACCACATTAAAAAATTGACTGGTGGAATGCCAAAGACTTTCCATCGATTCTGCCACTAATCCCACAAATGTACAACCCTTCGGTGTTTTTTGGGTTTTTCCTCTGAAGTCAGTCCTGGCCTTTGGAAGTAGCCCAGACACACTTGGAGCTGTCTGCTTAATAACTTCATTTACCAGCCCCTTTCTGAGTATCTGGCATGTGCCAGGCCATGGGCTCTTCCCCTCAGGGTCAGAAATGAGCAAGCCATGGGAGACATGGGTTCCTGCCTCCATCCAATTCAAATGATAGACTGAGCTGGAACAAGATAGAAAGTGGTTTCTATCATATTTGCCATGTGAGTGTCACAATGCTTTGACGGGTTAAGAACTTGAGGAAGTATTCTCCAGTTATTTTCATGATCAATGACCATCCAGTTGCAATAGGGTTCCATTACAATCCAGCTCAACGTTATGGAATTTGGGCACCCATGGCTCCCATTTCCGAAATCTCCCTCATTGAAGGCCTGCTATAACAATTTCCTTGCAAAACACATCTTGTCGCTGTTCTCCAGTGTCCCAGCTGCATCAGTCAGAACAATGACACTCAAATGTGCATTATTCTTAGAATAACAAAACTTTTGAGCGATAGAATTGAGGGGGAAAGGAAGGAAATGACTTACCAGTGTTTTAAAGAAGCTCATGATGGGATTATTATCCTCAGTGATAGCTGTTGTCTGGGGGTCCTCCTTGGCAATCTCCAATTCTTCAGGGTCCCGCGGGAGAGAGCAACTCACGGGTGTGACTTCCTGTCCCTTGTCTTGGCCTTCAACTATGTCCTAGGAGCAAAACAGCATTTTCACAGTTGCAACTTGTTGAATGTAGACTCTCAAAGTAATATTTTTTGGTTCACACCCCTCTCTCCCTTGCCCCCTAATTCCAGCCATAATTCGTCTGCCCACGGGTGTGTAGAACAATCAGGAGCTTATGAGAGTCACTCTTCCTCCCCCTTCCGCTCCTTCTAACATATTCAGCATTTGCAGCTAGTT